CGTAAATGAACTACAACAACAACAAATCTTAATGATTTGTAGAGCCGTAGTAGCCCAGTGGTTAGAGAATCGGGCTACGGAGTTTGAAGCTCTACTCCGCTAAGACCCATCGAGTATGTACTCAGTGGTACGTGATACGTGCTCTTGAAATCTGCGAAATCGAAAGTCTTGTGATAAGTCGCTGAGCAGTACCATGGGTACAGGGATCTGGAGAAAATTCCCGTCCCCTTCAGATTTATGTCTGAATTGTGATGACATGTCGTCGGATTATCCTCAGGGATGTTTCCCAGGCCGTCGCTAATAGTCCATTATGTAGCTCTACTGCGATGTACATAAAGTATTTATCTGCCTTAATGATTTGTAATATAGATACGTCTTTTGGTGACGGTGTGAATAGCCCATTGTGCAGCTTTAGTGCGACGTAAATTAACAACAACAACAATATTGGTGACGGTCTGAAAAAAATCCCTGAGGATGTTTCGAAAACATGCCATCACAATTCTCTCTTTTTTAAATATTTTTTTTTTTTTTAGAGATGGCTCCTTCGCTTTTGTAACTAAGCGATTTACGTGCGAAGTAGAGCACTATACAGTAGAAAAGTTTAGCAAGGACCGATGTCCTCGGTTCCCACGCAGACTATTCAAAGTGGTTACCCACCAGGGTACTGGTCGCGGCCAGTCATGCTTGACTTCAGTGTTCTGTTGGGAACCGTGTCTTTAAGATCAGTCTACTGAGGGACTATTGATTTATTAATTAAAATGCATATACATACTTGTGTCGTCATTACATACCTCGGGGGGCTCTGGTCAAAATTACGATCTGCGGTTGGATGGTGTGTGAATGTGTCCTCCCTGTGAAACGGGATGTAACGTTTGTATGTTGTCTCCGGATCATCTTCAGTGATGTTCTCCCGGCCGTCGCCAATAGCTAATTGTGCAGCTCTAGTGTGACGTAAATAAAAAGTACTAGTACCAGTGTGGTCATTAGAAAGTACGTCTTATAAGCCCTTGTCAACTCGAAGAACGGTTACGGGGCCTCCCTGGCCAAGCGGTATCGCCCGCCAAAAGCTCTGTTAAGCGTGGAGTAGGCGGGTTCGAATCCCGCCGTAACCCTGGATGTATTCTTCGTGATATTCTTCTCTATGTTGTGCTATCTGTTCTTCTACTTGACAAATGTTTATAAGCCTTAATTGAGCACACAAGCCTGCAAATGTATGTTGTATATCAATAAAGAACGGATTGTACAAGCAAACGCAGAACATCACAAAGCTAAATCCAAGGTTACGGTGAGATTCGAACCCGCTACCTTCACCCCGCAGAGTGTTTGGCGGAACGGTGAGATTGCTCGACTAGGGAGGTATCCTATTCCTGCTTATTGTCAATTAGTTTAAGCACAGACTGTTAAACTTGTAAAGTTACGATTTCGAGTCATGATTTTAATATTTACGAATTTGACAGCAGACCCTTCGTATTTTCAATCTTTCACTGGTAAGTTGAAGTCCATTTTTATTTAATAAATTGTTTAACAGTCATTTTGTAAGTAAATTTTATTTCAATTTAGTTTCTCCAAATAAGAAAATATATTATTGTAAATCAGACAAGAAAGTTATCAGTTATAACTAGTATTCACAAGGTTTGAGCTATAAATATATCCCAAAAATTAATGTATTTAATTAAAAATGTTCTCGAATTTCGAACATCTCTTTCATGAGATACTTTAGCTTTCAAACCCATTATCTCATATTCAAAATGCTGAATAAGAAAAATGTATTATTGCAAATCGCACAAGAATGTTACTAATTTAATGAGCCAGTGTAATGTTTATTTTATGAGTAAAATGTAAATTTTTTATTTTATTTAAAATCAATATAATGAAAACAGTGAAACATTAATTCAATTCAAAGTGAGGTGAGTAGTATTTCCTTATTTTTATAGCGAATCATAGAGATTTTTTACACTAAATGTATCAGCAAAAAAATCTGATTATGGATTGATAATTTTAAAAGGTCCCTATGAGTCATAGATATTGCAAATAATTTCAGCTAAAATAATGTATTGCATACTTGTTTCTTTTAATATTTCGTTTTTTCTTTAATTATTCTATATCGTATTTATTTATTATTGAAGCATAAAATAGTCATTTATTACAAAAGCATTTATCAAAATCCTTGAATAATGTTGAATGGTGGTTGAATTATTCCAAAAAAAATGTGTGAGGAAATTGGAACTTGTTAAATGTTCTTGTAGGTTTGCATTTGAATCAAATATATTTCAGTAGGCTGAAAAATGGATAGTTAACCTGATACGAAATGCACGTTTGGATGCAAAAATAGATTCTCAACTGGTAACTATTTTTTTTTTACTAGATTATGGTTAAAATGTTTATATATATGTTAGGAAATGTTGTTTCTTTTTTGTTTTTAGGGGCATGTCGTGATGGGAACAAAAAAACTTTCTCCTCATCAGCAACTTATTGAAAAAACTAAACAGCTGTTTGGTAAAACAAATTACTTCTTTGCTAACCTTGAAAAAAGACAACCGGCTAGCCATTTAGAAAAGGTAAGTTTTATTTTAAAATATATAGTTTTTCATATATATTCGTACCTTCTTAGTACCATAAAGAAAAACAGTTTTTTGACAAGTGATTATCACTGATTCATTCACTAAACTAAACTCAGTGGCACGACAGCCCATAGAGGGCCAAGACCTACTGTGCCCATCTCAGTTTTCTGGGGTGCAGGAGCAGATGTTCCGGTTAGGTGGTCAGCTGAACCCCAGTGTTTAGTTCCCAAGCATGCTTGGTACTCATTTATCGACCCACTGAAGGGATGAAAGGCTGAGTCAACCTTGCCCTGCCCCAGGATCGAACCAGGAGCCTGTGGCACGACAGCGCGAAGCGCTACCACTCAGCCACCGGGTGTCGATTCATTCACTATTTATCATATTAAAAAAAAAATAAATTTGTTGAATAAACAGTTAGTCTAGTAAGATATTTAGCATCATTTAATTCAAGTAATTTAAAGTTTCTTTGATCTTTATCCCTGACAGATATGATCTTGGTTTTTTTCCTCTTATATAAACTGGTTATACTATTATAATTAATTCTCTTAAGTACAATTTTTCAGATATTACTATAACTATACTTATAACTCTAATCTTTTTGAGATCAGGACTATTTTATCTTAGACCAAACTCAAAGAATTAAAAATGTCTTGTTCTCTTTTTGCTTCCAATCTTAGATTGTATACACTATAACCTATAAGAACTAGTTGAGTCAGTGTAATCTGTCTTTATCCTGTTAAGATAGTGTTCACTCTGTGAAAGGATTATATTGTGATTTAATCTTTGGAGATTTCCAAGAATCATAAAAATTGTCCACACAGACTCCTTATACTCTTAGAAACTCCTTGGAAATTAAAAAAAGTCTCCAAGGAGTACTTGGAACTACTTAGATTTCTAAATTAGTCCTTAGAAGCTCCTTAGATTATTGTGTTGCATAGATGAATTTGCTGTCCAAACAGGGAAACTAAATTATATGACTTAGCTGTCAAAATCTAATCGTTTGAGAAATATTTTAAAAGAAAATGAAATTGAATTACAAGAGTTAGAAGAAAA